AAAATTCCTGGGCATTTCTACAGTCACATTATTTCACTATTTTGACTTTTATAGACTTGATTTAATGAGAGGGGAAACACTTGAACTGAGTACCAGTGACCCACCTGTCATATAGAAGTCCTTCACAGTAAGCTGTGGAGGGACTAAAGGTTTGTTAAGGACACCGTGGTGCTCTGCCTAAAAGAGATATCACCATTATCATAGAGAACAGCATGAACTGAGATAAATTAACTGTACAAGCTAATATTTAAATAAAGCTTTATTAGGTCCCTCTCTATGATCAAGTAGCCACATGCTGGAGGAAGATAACAGCTGATCTTAGAACGTTCATTAGCTTGCTTAAAGTAGTTAGCCTTCTCAGCGTCATCATATTGCATCAGATTTGGGGGAACCTCAGCCAGTCGATCACACACTTCATGGAGTATTATAGGGCAGAGTTACTCTGGCAAGCTTTAAAAAGAATGGAAAATACACAACATTTAGGCTTGTTTCTTACCATTTAATACAAATACCATGAGTAGCATGTGTTTGTAGTTCACCTCAGAAATGGCTCTGATGATCTTCCACTCTTCCCTGGCCACACCTGGAGGAGTCACCGCCACTTTGGCCTGCTGGGCACAACCCTCAGTGTTCATATTGATGCTACATTTCTCGGTATATGGACCTCCAGGAAGTATGATTTCAGCCACAGGTGCACCAGCGTCACCATGATGATCTGGGTAGCTATGGTGAAGAGCACTGAAATTAACCCTTCATATGAACATATACAACTGAAATGAAAAGTCCATATAAAGTATCATGGTAAGTTGTTTTTCTACAATGAGTAACCAGAACAAATTCAGTGCATTTCACTGGTTTCCCTCATTTGATACTTTCATGATGGTGATGACGAGTACTGTGTAACCCACCCATCTCTCATGTTTAACTCATACTCATCAAACCAATCATGTACAATACAGAAACCTCTGCATTAATTTGGGTTTATTTATTTATTTTGGATCATTTACTCAGGCTTTCTTTTCTCACCCTGTACATGTAAAGGAACTACCTCGCCATTAATTAATATAAATGAAAGATGCTATGAAAGAGTTTCTGCATGCTGTGCAGTAAAATAGCTGACCTTGATAAATTATGAAGCTATCTTTAGGGAAGTCTTGACAAGTAATGCAGCCAATATCACTTCCTAATAGGAACAGAACTTTGGGTGTTCTTTCTGAAAACCCTGGCTTGAACCCAAGATCAGGAGCAGCCACTTGACTGGCAACCCTGCAGACACAGACAAACTAGCACATATATTAAAGTAAAAATCCCTCCTGAACACTGCCCTGTTAGTGAAAGCTCCCCCTCTAAATTTCCAAGACTATGACCTGTGAAACACATTGAAAACCTTCCAGGTTTCCTCCCTTTCATGGCTGACGTCAGTGTTCTGAGCAATAGCTGATATGGCCACCATTACTGCAGCTCCATCCTATCTCTGCAGGCAGCTGCTGCCAGCCACAACAGAATGCTTTGCTTTAGTCAAGACCTGCCTAGAAGAGATAAAACAAACAATGTTATATAGACATTTAGGCTGACTGATAATATCCACTACATAAATAATGGTGCTCAAAATGTTACTTGAGAGAACAGGTGAGTTCCTGATGCAAATTCTTAAAGAACCCTGGCAGACTCCCCAACTTAAGTCCACTTCCTTTCCCCACTAGAGCCACTTACAACTCCATTTGAAGCCAGCTACAGCAATATTAAAAAATATACATTTTTGTTCAACACCCCTCAGATTTACAAGTTCAGTAACCCAGAGATAGGTCCCAATCTGCAGGTCATTGCCTCTGCCAGTGGTGCCCAGGTCCTTCACATCTGCAATCACACTGGCAAAGCTGTAGAAGCATAAAGGTTAATTAATATTTAATATTCAGAATTTACACAGCAACTCAACTTAAGATAGATACTTAAGTGTCACTCACTAGAGAGTGCAATAAATACAGCGAGTCATAATGGTTTTGATGAGGGGGCCAGTGTTTTTGTCTTTCAGTGTTGGACTAAACCAGTCCTGCGTGTCCTTTTTATGAAGAATACTCAAAGACAAATCTGTCTTTTGAGATATTTATTACAATCAATATTTAAGGCAAAATATTCAAGAAAAGCAATACAGAGCTCTGGATTCCGTCTCTATCTGAAGCCCTATCACACAGAAGTATAGCGCATAGCTGCTGCAGGAAGCCGGAACCATGAGTTTCCTCTGCATAGAGAATTTATAATAAGAGTCATACAAATGATCTGACGTCATCCGCGTTGTCCTTCATCCTCGTTCCTTGGTTGGTTTCTTGACCTCGTTCTGACCCTTCATTTGGTGATCTTGTCGCCAGGCAGATTTTGATCTGTGACAATCTCAGTACAACATATCCTGACCGTTCAATAGACAGTTTTAGAGGAAGCACCTCGAGCGTTGCTA